GCGCAGTAAAATTTTATTAAAAATTAGTCGCTGAAGAGAAAGGGCTGAAGAAAAAAAGAGCTGCAGAAAAAGTCCTGTGGGGTCTTTTTGAGGCAACAGTAAAAACATCCTCAATTTAATGCAAATTCTGAAAATAAAGGATATGAGAAAGAGCACCCACAACCTGCCATCTAGTTGATCACAATGAAAATAAAAGTCCATTAGCCCAAAGGCAGCTATGAACGCAGAACATGAATAAATAAGTCATGCTGGTCACACTTCTGCAATTAAATTACCTTTTATCTATTTAAAAACAAATTCCTCACTACATTAGCCTTACAGATACTCATAGTACCTGAGATTTCTATGAGATTTCTACCCTAGCAGACACATATTCCTTACTATTTGAAATTAAACCCTAAAACAGTGAGTAGTGTCATTTTTCAACAACGTTTTATTCTCCCAATGTTTTTATGCATTAAGAAAGGGTTATATGATTGCATGTCATTACTCCCTAGTACAAAACATGGCTGACTCTACATTTAGTAATTGCTTTTTTCTTTTCTTTTCTTTCTTTTTTTTTTTTTTTTTTAATTACAGTTTTCCAATCTCCTCGTTGACCACCGTGATCTACAGGTTGCTTGGGTCGAATGGTCAGAACCTTCATTTATACTGGAATATTATGATAAATTACATGAATGGCTCTTTTTTGAGGGAACAGAAATTATTTCCTTAAGTGATTTGTTGTGATTTGGGTTTCTTTCTTGACTTAAAATATGGGAGAGTTGAGGTGATAAACTGCTACCTTCAGCTGGTTAATTTTTTGTGACCTAAAATATTATGTTTTCTGGGGTCTATAAAAACTTTGCTCAGTCCTCATAAATGTGGTTTGGGTCCAACCCACACATTCCAGATATTTCTTCATTCCTTCGAAATGTACTTGTTGAAGAAGAACATTTTGAAGAAAAGTAAACATATAACTGCATTTCTTTTTTCAAATTTCTATTCAACTATATAACTAAAATACCCTGAAGTATTATGAGTAATATAATTGTAAGATGGATTTTTGGTACAAATAATTTATTGTACTATCATTTTATTTAAATGTTTCTATCAAGCATTTCTACCTTCGTATATGAAGTTAAAAAGAACTAGAGCCTAAAAATATTCTGCCTTCCTAGGTAAATCATATATTCTTTATATTTTGTAAAAAACCAACTTCAGTCCCCCCCATCCTGATTAAATTAGTGAAGAAGCTGAGACTTATGACACTATGATCATCTTATTTTTTTCTGCAGCCTTACTCTGTGTTTGCAGTGGATGTTCAATATTTATGCACTCAGAGTAACTGTGAGATTAAATTTAACCTAAACACATTATTTCTGTACTAAGCCAGAAAACTGTGCCTCCTAATTTCCTGTATGGTCATTTCAGAATGCTCTTCAGAGTCTACCTTGCTCTTGACCAGCTTTCCAGACTTGTCCCACAAGCTCTCCTCCTTCTTCCTCCTGCAAAAACGCTTTTTAGGCTTAAAAAAGATATAAGGTTGCTTTGATGGGTTTACCATTAATTAATTAATTCTGCAGGGTGTTACTAAAACTCTTTTTTTGTGGCATTTGGAGCACAGCCACAGGCTTTACACAGCACAGCCAAAGATATTTGAATAACAGCTGCTATTAAAATGCTTTAGTTTTTTATATGGTAGAATGTTAACCTTTGTCAGGAAGAGGAATTAATAGAAATGGAGTAAGAATGCAATCTATGTATTTTTTGTCATGCAAACACAAAATCAGGGCAGAAAATGCCTCACTAGGCAGTTCAGCACCAGTGCTCTGGTTCACAGATGACACCAATCCACCCTTCCCACAGCTGGTAGCCCAGTCAGTGTTATGATTTCCATCCATTGACAACACTCATTAAGTATCCAGGTCCTTAGGTACTCATCTGGAGCATAAAAAGGAAATCAGAGTTTAATTCCTCCTCTGTTTTCATTTTTCTCTTTCATCATCACCCCTGTAATGGGAATGGGACAAGAAAAGTGCTACAACAAAAGACAGATGCCAGTTCTCAACTGGTTTGAAAGCATTTTCCACTGGCAGAACATAAAATGGTTATTGTGTGACACTGCAGTGCAAAAGAAACTCTATAACAAAAAGAACTGTCAATAACCCAGAAAGTTAAAACCCTCACAGTTCAGGATTAATGATCAGCCTTCTGATTATGCTCAATTTTACCTTTTAGTGTCATTGAACTTGTATTCACAGGGCCCTAAATCCCTTTGTCAATACTTTTGGCACCAGCGCTGCGTTATACGTGTCAGGTGCATGACAGATAAAATGGCTTTGAACTGAAATTCTAGTGGTAAATTCTGTATTATACACTCCTGTACGTTACAAATATTAACTTATTTAAGACACATCAAAAAACCCCCACACCTCAGTCTTATACTGCTTTTGATCACTTTGAGGGAACTTTTTCTATGATTTAAATATAAGAATTTCCCATTACTACACAGTTTTCCAAATTAATGAGCTATCCAGAACAACAACTCTTTTTTTTTTTCACTGATCCAGGCACTTCTAAGCACTGTTTTTTCATATCTCTATTTTCTCTAGGAAAAAAAAAAAAAAAAAAAAGGTATTTTCAAGTAATTTGGCAATTTGCTTTCCTAGTTACCCTTTCTACACCACGTTCTTGTGCTAAATATCTCTAACAAGCACTCAGGTATTACAGTGACCAATTATGAATAAAAACCTACTCATTTGTGGTTTTTTTTTAATGAGGAAACACCCAGGGGTGATTGTCCCCAAGTGATACAGCTGTCATACTGTATGATTTACCCTTCAACAGATTTTAAAATAAGTCTGACACTTCAGACAGCGATTTTTAGGCTGGATGAGAACATCTTAGAAATAAGACACTTAACAGACAAATTATCCTTTGTCCCCTGAAGCTGAAACTGCTGCTTATCAGACATGACAAGATGTGTAAGTGCTGCTCCCACTTTTATGCGTGATAACGTGTTTAACCACACACATTTATACCACCCTAAAAATACTAGCCTGCTATATATCAAAATATTTACTCAAATGTAATAATAATTATAATAAAAAGAGAGCTATACATCTGTAGTTAGAGTTAATTGGTTTGTCAAAGGAAGAAAAAGCTGAAGAGAAGATACATAAGAATGGATATCATAATAAAAAAAACACCTTCTGTAATACTGCTCAAGAACAGAAGGTTTAATTCTGGACTATGATTCCTTCACATCTTGTTTCGCAGTAGCAAATTTCAGTAGTTTCACAATCACAGATTTCTAATAATGAGGTGTCAGGGTGTGGAAGAAGAGGATGGCAGACCATCATTTCCTTAGCCATTTCCATGGCATATGCCAAGGGCAGAGAAATGTGTGAGAAACACCTACTGAAGAAGCAGTATAACTTATTCAAGCACTTCTGGATACCAGAGGACTAAATGCTGCTTTTTTGAAAGACTGCAGCACAGAAACTTTGATACATTTGACCAAGTACAATAAACACAAAATCTATATAATCATCAAAAAAAAAAAAAAAGAAAAAGAAGGAAAACTACTCTGTATTTCAGTCAAATATCAAAAATTTCATTCTAATCTAGATGCTGTTTTCCCATGTCCTTCATTCAGTGATGGTGTTGCCTGTAAAGCCAAGGAGAGCTCCAGTTCTCCAGAGGCTCTGACCACGGACTGATCCTAAACATAGACATAAGGGCTTGCTTATGTCAGAGGCACATGACAGAGGCACAGACACTTCCAACCTGAAGGAGAGGAGAGGAAGAACAAGCTGAACAATTCCAGACCCACATTAATCAGGAAAAATGTGATTCTGGAGATCCCAGAGCTCTGCTCAGTCTGCGTGACCTACAAAAGAAGAATCTGCTGCCCTGCAGAACACACCCCCAGTGATCTTAATCTAAATGAACATCAACATTAATTAGTGCTGCTACTAATTAATACAGTGCTTTGTTTCCAGAGGTAATCACTTTTGGGAGTGAAGGTTTCTTCCTATAAAACAGTTACTAAGGAACTGACAACCATTATTGTAAGAGTAGCGATGTGAGATCCAGTTTTAGAATTATATTCTGCTTTCTGAAGCTGTATTTCAATGTTCATTACAAAGTTTATTAATTTTTGGCTTCTGGCTCTGCACTGACAGTGAATACCAACAGCTGACATATACAAATTACTAGTTGACTATGAGTTAGCAATTCCTATTTATATTTCATTTTTGGAATTTAAAGAGGACATGGAAGTGTCCTTCAGTCATTCTTCCTTTTAATCAAAATCACAGATTTCTTCTTATATCTAGAAATCCTCTACTGAATCAGTTGAATACAGGAGATGAAATTATCAGGACTGTTGTTAGTGTTGTCAGTGTAAATCTTAACTGTATTAAAAAGTTTGTATTTATTGAATCAAAACACTTTTTTCCCCTCTCATACTTTCTCCTAAACTGCCCTTCTCATCTTGGAATATCAGAATATTCCCTACACCCTATTAATGAGTTCATAGATCCCTTTTGGCAAATTTGATTCTGGTGTCCCAGGTTATTTTATACTTTTTATATCAAAATTTTCCACTAAGAAAATGCACGATAAGCAAAAACCATCCTACTGTTTAGTGCTGTATTACCACAAACTCACAAGCAGTGCCTGACAGGTAAATGATCCTAAGATTTAGCATCCTCACTTATTTTAAATGCAAATCCATCTTCCTTGCATATTTGCTGTGCAGACATGGCCCATTCACCGAATGACAGAAAGAACTTTGCTCCACAGCAAAAAAAGTAGCTGCTTCCCAACTTTTAAAAACCCAGTTTACTGACACCAGAGACAGGCTTAGAGTTATCCTCAAAATTCATCCTAATCTTTCAATTAACTTAAAATCCTCCTTAGTTCCAGTTTGATGCTCTCACAGGACAAACTTCAGAAGACGTTAAAAAAAAAAACCACAACAACAAATCACACAGCTGAGAGAGAAACCATACCTTGGAGTTTGTCACTTGAAATGGGACTCGGGAGCCCTTTGTGACTGGGGGGTTCAGCCTCTCAGTTGGTTTTGAAGGGATGAGGTTTACAGGGGAGGGCTGATTGTGCAGAACGGAGGACAGGCAGAGCTGCACCGTGTCCTTCAGAGCTTTCAGCTGTGACTCCTGTGCAGAACAAGAAATCATCACTCCTCTGAAGATGTGTTGCGGGAAACAGGATTTCTTACTTTCTCTCCCTGCATTAAACCAAACAGCTAGGAGGGGCTGCTGCTTTTTTCTTACTAATGGGTGGAATTAAGGCTGTTTAGAGTGTTTTTATATGATCAGGTTCCTGTGCATTACACACCAAACTGCCTAGAAAGTCATGCACTCTCTTCCCTTTCCCCCATGTAGTTTTATCCACACTGATGATTGCAAATAATAATAATTATATACCATTTTTTCTGAGAAGAAAAATCTACAAAATACCATACACTGTCCAGCCTTTTACATAAAATAGCTACAGAGAAGTCACTAGTGTTGTAAAGACACAGACTTTGGAGTTTTGTTTCCAGCCTTCCAAACGATTGTATTTTTCCACAGGTTATAAAGGTGAATTTTAATCCAACAAGGATGATTTTCAACAGAGATGACTTCCCTCATGAGCATATCATGAGCTTTTGCAGTGTACAGTAACAAAAGCACAGGTCTTTCGAACAGTTTAAAGTATGTTTCTCCAGATCCACTGCTGTCCATCAAACCAAAATGAACCTTCTAAGCAGTGAAACGCTTGCAACTCGTGTTAGAAACGCTGCTATTTTATTCACACCAAAACATTCACAGCTGATAAATACCCTTAAATTACATTACACTTCTTACCTTGTCAAGGGCTGCTTTCTCCAATACCTCTTTTGCAACTGCTAGTTTTTGCTCCAGATCTGTTAGCTGCTGTGCCTGTGGGAATAAAGAAAAGAAAAGAAAAAAAAGATGATGCAAACTTCAATGAGTTTTTCCCCCATAATTTTTCACATGAGAGAGGAAAGGATATAAATTTTTCATGTAATATATATTAGTTGGGTCAGAATTCCTTCCAAAATGACCAGGCCTTAAGGGATGATTTTTATCCCTGAAAAAAGAAAAGTATGTGGGAACTGTGCTCAAATGTGAATGCAAGTTTATAATAATTTCAATGCCAATAGCAAAATGAATTCCATACTATTAAAAATATTTAGTATTATGCTATAATATCCTTCTGGAAAATTTGAGGTATTCAGGCAGCTTTTTATTATCTTTTTTTAATTTATCTGACTTCTGAGTACAATTTGCAACACTATTTTGTGGTTTTAAGCATTGAGACACTAACATTAACATGGCATAAAAGAATTTAGAAAACACGCAAACAATTCATGCGTGTGTCCACCTTATGAAATGATATTATCTGCTGGTAACTCCCAATTTTTTATTTTCTCAGTCTCCTTTCCATTCCCTCAGGTTGCAAAATTTAAGTGGGTTTATCACTGACTTACTAGAAAAAAATTACTAAGATATAAAAAAAATTGCGACAGTTCAGTAACATTTGCAGTTGTTCCTAAATATGGTACATATTATAACTCACAATAAACATGGACAATGTTTGAAAGACTGAACTCAAGCTTGGGTCTGTGCTATGCAGACACTTCTCATTAGATATTAGAACCAGACCAAGCACTTTCTCACATCATTAACATTTTTATATCGCTGCTTATTAAATTATTTTCCAGTACAGTTATATAAATTAATATGAATTCTCATCGAATTAGAATCAAGATTTGAAAAAAACCCCTTTACATATAATTGAATAATTTCAATTGCCATTAAAGCAGAGGAAAAGTATTAGTGAAGTCTTTCTGAATGCATCATTTATCAAGACTTATCCTTATTTTTCATAATCCTGTCATATTTTGATGGACTAACATTTTCTGTTAACTTTCATGTATATTTATTTTATTTCACAGAATACTGAGCAAATAGGTCACCGACATCAATCTGACGGACATTAAGCGAGAATAAAATTCTGGCATTAAGAATGAATTTTGATGAACTTGAAAGCAGCAATACTTATTTACATCTTGGTTCCAAGACCACAGAAAAATCAGATTTTTTTTTTTCTGAAAACTTTTGACTATCAAGCCTAAATTCATACTGCAATAGTTTTCACTGCTGCTGTAACTAACAAGTTATTTTAGGGAGCTGGCATGGCTTGGATGCTGAATAAAGGCAAAATAGTACATCTCTTGTCATTTTAGAGGGAGCTGTACCAGGTCTGTAAGCTGATCGAATAAATTTTTAGATGGCATTTTTCAGTTCATTAAAAAAGTTACCATTTTTCAGTCCCAAAGCTGTGCTGTAAAAAAAAAACCCTGGCAATAAACTAATAGACCTAAATTACCAACTACTGAAATGATATTCACATTTTACATGGATGTGATTTCCAGAACTGCAAGAAACCATCAAAAAAATAGACTTGTTTCAGTAAGGACACATTATCCAGTGTCCTTACTAAGAAATATATACAATAACAACCCTCCACCTTTTTGTATGTCGCTTGTCTCTCTTTATATGAAAAAATTCCCATGTCTGCAAATAACCTACAAGTATTTTTCAGCAGCAAGTTCTATTCAGATCTTCAGGCCCCTGCTGTGTTGCTGACATTAACACATTGCTAATAACATGGTAGCAACAACATACAAATGCTAAAATGTGACCTCACCTGGCCAAAGGGCTATTCCATAAAACATCCTGCCTGGTATATGAACTGGGGGAGTTACCTGGAAGCATCAGTGGGTGGTGTTGGGCATCACTTGATTTTCCTTGTGTTGTTTTTTTTTTTCCTTGTTTGCTTTTTTCCCTTTTGTCACCGTCGTTATTATTTACTATTATTATTATATTTTACTTTTGTTTCGTTTCTTGAACTGTTTTTATCTCAACCTACAAGTGGGCAGCTGCATGGTGCTAAGTTGTAGCTGGGCTTAAACCACAACTTCCAGAGCAAAGCACACATAAACTACATAAAACTTTCTACCTACATTTTTGTCGGGGTTGTGAAAATATACTACCCACTAAGCAGGGGGGAAAAAAATAATTGCCTACTCCAAAAGAAACCAAATGATAAAAATATGCCTTGTGCTTCGTGAAAACAAGGAGTACTCACCACGCAGTGATAAAAGACCATGTAACAAGAGATCATGAAATGTTGGTTGTCTTAACTGTGTTGTCTCAAGATAGCTATCTGAACAGTAATCATGCCATCTCTTACCAATCAAACACCAACTACAGAAGTTTACGCAGCAGCCCTAATATATTTTATAAAAATCAACTAAGAAAATTTCAATTTCCTGTCTCACCCAGGGGCTTCATCTTCTACTGAGACAAGCAATTCTATAATATCCTGTCTTACAGCACTTTTCTACATCCAATAAGCAGCCTGATCTAATCACAAATAACTGATAGACTGAAAACCAAAATCATACATGCAGTGACAAAACTGCACAAACATATTGACTTGATCAAGGAGAAAAAGTCCCAAAGTGAATAATCAGCCAAAGCATTATTTAATAAAAAGCATCATGAGCCTTCTGACATGGAATAGAAAAAAATAAAAGTTGCAGTTTCTAAGACCAAACTACAACATTTAAGAAGAGCTCATTATACCAGAAAGTAGAAATATGTCAGCAAAGATCCAACAATCTCTATCCTTAGAGATAAAAATCAGGAAAAAAATCAGTTCTCTCTCATGACACTTTAAGCCACAAAACTCTTCACACCCAAGGCCATGATCAGGCAAAAGACCCAACCTGGCCCAAAGTTCATATCCAATCCTGGTATTCTCAAAAGGCCAAAAAATGAATTCTGTAAAATTATCACATTCTTAAAATCCACAAATAAATAGAATAACTTTCATAAAACAACCTCAAACATGAATAAAATCTACACTCTACTCCCGTTTCCTCAGCTATCCATGCGTGGGTGAACTGAACAGGGAACTAAACATAATACTGATTAAATATTCTGGTGACATCAAACCAGAACTCTGTGTGTCATAGAAAATGGGGTTTATCTAAATTTACCCTGATAAACTGGGAAAAGCAGGATGACATTCACTTAAAACAAGTGTAAGATGCTAAATAAAAACAGTAATGGTCAGTAAAACTAATACAGAATATGGAACAATAAGGATGAATGACCCAAGATGATATTACCACTGAATATGCCATATAAGAACTTCTGATCTCAGTAAATACAAAGTTACTTGTATTATTTATGTGCTTAAAAGGAAAATTCTGTTAAGAATATTTTGAGACTTCTCATTTCATCACCTGTCAGAGTCTTCCTTTTATTGTGGGCACTTTTCATTTAATCTTCATCCTTTGTGGGGAAAAAAACAACCCAAAGAAAAACAACCTCTTTTTGCTGATATAATCAACCAACAATATATAAGCCACGGGAGGCCAATTACATTAAATTTATCAGATAGAAAACATCATAAAACAAATAAAGACATAGCTAAACAGAGGTTCAGCTTGCTACTTCCTACTCAGCCATCATTTTTTCAGTTGTTATGCTGTGTGCTGAAGCCAGCCTGTAACTTGTAGAACTTGTTATCCGTAATGAAGTCACTGTTGTAAGATCTCTGGGAAAAAAACCCCACACATTATCTCTAATATTTTTGCATTCCATCTACTTTTATAACTGATATTTCTTAATAGTTTTTGATGGGTTTTATGCCTTTCCCATGTAGCTTCAGAAAATTTCCCAAGGGAGGTTGCAGAAGATCCGGATGCTGAGGAAATACGTTGGATGAATAAACACATCACAGGGTGAAGATCCTGCCTGAAAGCCAGTGGAATTGCATATTCTCTGGGGGTAGTTGATATGACAGGCCTGTAAGGAAACTGTCCTCAGTTTTCTGTTATCATCTCCTTTCAACATGGAGCTGCAGAAGTTTTATTTTATTTACTCTTACGGGGCAGAGTAAAAGCAGCATGAAAGATAAGAGATTTCTTTTTGTGCTAAATAAATGAATGTATAAATAAAGCTTAAGTGAAACAATGCTGGGGTTTTTTTTGAAAAGCTTTCCTGCAAAGAAAATAGGAGTTTTATGGTGCTTTGAACATAATGAAGAATTGTTTAAAATATTTTAAATGGACTAATCTTTCAACCATGCAAAGTCATCTGAATTCTGCTGCTGGTAATTTTAAAACATAGAGGTGCAAACCATGGGGGAAGTGGATGTACAGGTGTGAAATGGGTGGATTTGGGTTGAGCCAAACCACCAGCACTACAGAAAAAGAAACTTGCATCTTCACACATGTGCAAGCACACAAAGTACTTCTGTTTAAGGTTATCACAGATTTAAAATATGTAATCGATTATTTCAAGCCCAGAGAACAATTTGAATGTTTCCACAAGTTCTCTGTCAAGTTAGGTCTTCAATGGTTTTCTGTGAGTGTGTGGTTTTTTTTTTTACCCTTAGTTTGTTTTTCTTTAATTATTTCCTCTCTTTCTCTGTGTGGAATTCAGAATCTCACAGTCTTCATGACAGAAATAAATTAATACTCTAAAACTCTGGGAAATAGGTTTACTGTGGCATGTAATTAACTTCTGCTAACAGGGAGGAAAACACATATGGTGGCATCAGTTTTACTCTAGAGGGAAGAATGGCATAAAAATATTCCCCATTCAAGTCAGTATGATGCCAAATCATTTCACATAGTTTTGTTTATCTTTGACTCTATTTACCACAGCAAATTATGAACATTATGAAATATTAATATTAAAATTTAACATTAAAATTTAATTTAATATTAAAATTATTTCCACATATCCAAATAATGAAGTAATTCGTGTAGAACTATGTTTGCCAAATAATTTGGAAAGTGGTTTTGACTATAAATTTATTCTCTTATATTACCATAAAGGTAATAAGGATTTATTGAGGTAATAAGTTGCATTATTTGTTTTAATGGCTTTAATGATGCTACTAGATTGCTTATTCAAAGTTAAATTTTGCCATGGAACAAAGATAAAGTACATTAGCAGGCTAGGTGCAGTTAGTTGTTGCTCACAATTGAACTTTTTATTGTTTGTTTGGGGTTTTTTTTAGGATTATTGATATATTTCATCTTAGAATTTAGATAACAAAAGGGAAAAGAGATGAAGCATTGGGTGAAATGTCTGAAACTCAAGCAGAATTTGTAGAAAATAGCAAAAATAGGTACTTAAGCCATAGCACTGAACCATTGTCACCTCGTATATTTACAGGAGCAATTTCAATAATAAAAACTATTGTATAAGCTGGCAGTGAAAGGTATTGCTAGATTTACTTTTCTTCATCTCTTGCTACCATCAGATATACATGTTTGCATTTTATGAATTAAAAACCAGACTATCTTTAATTCTTTTCTAATTTAGTAAAGCTTGTGACTTCTAGGATAATATAGCCAAATGATTGGGGAGAGAGTTAACGAAGGAGTTATTTAAATAAAAGTGGTCATTAATGCCTGAAATTAATGGAGACCTTGATCTAGCAGCACTTAAATTTAGGAGTACTTCACTGAATCAGGGGTTTAGGACCATAATTAAATTATTGCAATTAAGGGTGTCCTCATTCAGAACTAGCAAGTACCTACTTATAAAGGAAACGATAAAATTAGGAAGACTGAGTGGCAATTTTTATTAATAGTTTCTTGTTTTTTCCATAATAACACAAAGAAAATTTACGCTTTGTTCAGCTCTTTAAGGACGCTGTGCTGCATGCTTTAAAACACAGAGACAGTAGCTCAAATTCTAATCTCAGCAGAGACACCCACAACCCCTACAGCCTGGAGCACATCACTTAATTTTTGTGATGCTCACTGCTCTTCTGCCACCTGGCTTTATATCCCATAGGGAGAGTTCAAAAAATATAAACTGACATACAGATATGCTCCATAATTAATCAGATGGATTATAGGACACTTTGAAAACGTAAGAAGAGTAAATACATGCCTAAAGTGATGAACTTGTATTTACTACCACTTGTTAGCTTACTGACACACAGTGTTAAAAGTGGATATGACTGGAATATTAAAGAAGAAAGCTGCCCTTTCCCTCCCCCTTTCCTCTTCCTTTCCCACTTAAATCCCAGAGGTCTAGTTGAGTACAGAGCTATTGATGATAATAGTTACCAGAATTTAATAACAGTCTCTTGATGTTGATTATGCAAAACAAAACCCAAAAAACCTTCCTATATCACGTATATCTGCACAATTAATTCCTTCACAGAAAGCATTAGTTTAATGGGCATGGGCTGCAGCATTCTCTCATGCCCTTCAGAAATCTAATAGCCTGCAGCTCACATCCTTCTGGTGAGCAGTTCCAAGAAGCTTGCAATGTTCAGAGCTATGTGGAGAGCAGAATTCCCTGAATTCCTCAGTAAGGCAGAGAGAACCCAAAGTTTAATATGCTGGGAAGGCAGTGGGAGGAATGTAGAAGTCTAGTAAGAAGACAGTAGCTAGCAGCCAGGATTTTATCCCAAACACTCATGCTCTGTTCTGGCAGAAGACTGTCCATCTGTTTCATTTATCAGAGTTCAGAACAAGAGCTTCACAAAACAGACTCAACAGCAACGATAACATTAAATCTGTTACATTTCCAGCATCAAAGCAACTAGAAATGAAATACCATCTGTTCTTGCCCAAACCCAGCAGCCTCTCTCTGATCAGGCAGATACTCAAAAAGCTTTCCAACCTATACCAAATGGCTTCTGCTCTGCTCAGCACACCTGAAATGCACACAAACCAGCACACTGAACCTACCCTCCCTCACATCTCACACGATTATTTGGGAGGGCAGCATAAGGTTTCTGCTCCCTTTGCTTCATAAAGCAAGTTTCCTCAGTCAGGAAAAAGATTGAGGAGTAAACCTAGTAAACCTGCACAAGTATTTCTGGCTGCACATAAAGGAGTTAGCAAAGCAGGTATTCAGGCTCGATACAGAACTGCACGTGGTCAAGAGATGTTTCAAGTGTTTGCATATCCAGTTCTCAGAGGAGAACCCACACCACCTAACTTGGGACCTACACCCAAACTATGTCTATTCAACACAGGTCAAGGACTTTAAGGCCTGATTCATGTGGTCATATGTAGTCTTTAGGAGAAGATAACTCTCCAGGGATTTGGAGTGGAGACTTTGGTGCAGACATCCACATCCAGCCAGAGGAGACTCACGTCTATTTCCTTTCACACTAGACACATTTCCTCTATTAATATGTAACTCTGTCCCTCCCTTCCACCCCAAACCCCTGCTCTTTACATCTGTACCTTAACCACCACATTGCAGTGGTTTACTGAACTAGGACAAGGAGAGGGTGGATTTCATTGTCCATGTGCTGATGACTTGCCAGACAACCTTTCCCACGTGTTCAGATCTGTTTTTTGGATCTCTGTGTATTACCATCATGAAAACAGCAAGGAAACTGTAATGCTGAACAATCCTACTGCTTCAGCCAAAGAAAACAAGCTTTCACACCAAGGCAAGATTAGAACAACTCATAATCTTTTCCTCTGCCCAAGCTCTCAGTTATCCTTAATTTGGAGAAAGATGTGCTATTTTTGTTAACTTTAGCTGGCATTAAAATTTAAGTGCCTAGATGTATAACATGCCTATTTTTTTGTCTCTAAACCTATTTCTCTGGTTTTGGTCTTATGAGGACCAGAAATAAAAGTTTCTGAAAAAACTTGGAAACAACCTGTGCATTAAAAAATAAATAAATAAATCACAGAAATCACATTGTATTATAAATGGCCTATATTATTCCATCTTTATAGTACTGTATATACAACAGAGTTAAATAGTTCAAGAAGATAATTCAACCTCATATTGACATGAATGACTTTTTAAGGTAATTCTAGGTATAGTCACTCTGAAGATGGCTACTTAATCTTCATCTTTTATGCTGGGAATAAAAGGACTAATCAATTAGCAGCCTCCAGTCTGGTGACTTGCATCTCTCCCCTCCTCCTTTAACAGGGATGAATTTCTCCCTGTGTTAACAAGGACTTGATGCCCTTCAGCAACATCTTTATTTTTTGTCCTCCCCCCTTCTTCTTCTTTCATTTAAAAAAAAAATATGCTAGCTAGACAGACTATTCATTTGGAATGTTTAAGACACAGAAGTTTCTTTTTCTAGAACCTTCACATCCAAGGAATATTACATCACTCCAGCTCATCACAAACACTAAGATTTACTTTCAGCGTTAACAATAATTGACTTTGCTGTGGAGGGACTGCTAATTAAAGGAAAAACAAGAACCATCTGCTTCTATCAATCAGTTAGAAAGATGGAAAACACGTTACAGAATGCATGGAATAGGGCAAGAGGTTTTGTTCATCAGCAGTAAACTAGAATGTGAGCACCTAAATACAGGTGCTCATAAACCAGATACTTGCCACTGCTTTTGTCTATTTGAAAGCAAAAGCACCAGAAAACTTTTTAGGGTTGGGATCTCTTCTTCCTTGGCCCTGCAACCAATTTAATAAAAAGCACCATCCCTGTTATAGTGTTTTGCATGGAAAAAAATGAAAAAAAAAGACAATATTTCTGAAAATGCATTATGGTATCAACTATGTCTTGGTGCTTTAAGCTCTTTTCAGAATGAAATTATTCCTTAGGCAGCTTTCATATTCCTAGATTACTCCAATACTATATTAACTCTAATATTTTAGCTAACCATAGTGAAATAAAACTTACCTTAAAAATCAGATCCTTTTTCCCATAACGAAGCTCTTTCAGCTGGGCTTGTATCTTTTTTGACTGAAAGTGAGGATAATAAAATCAAGTTTGAAGGTGGTTTTATTTTAAATATTTCCTTTCAAGATCAGAAAAAAAAAGGGTAGTGAGTTCTGACAACAGTAGAATCCAGACAGCTTTAAAATGCAGAAACCCCCCCACCCCCAAAATCATTGACAACTGCTTGTCCTGGTTGACATGTCGAAAGTATCAAGGAAAATATAAACTGGCCCTTACCTAAAGCACATAAGTGAGTGATATGAATAGCTTTTGGGCTTACACAGCTGAAGTGATAATTATGGAAATTTCAGTAAAGATGTAATGCCTCTGTCTTGTTCAGGCAAGGTGCAACAACTTTTACAGAAATTAACCATGCAAAAAAAATCCAGATTAAAGTAATTTAAGTGACTAAATCAGATTCACATGTTGTAATATGTTTCTTTCATAAGAAGTTGAATAGCTAAAGGAACTGCTCAAATGAATGCAGGTGCTTCTACACTGATCTATTTGCCAGCAAACAGGGCTTTTGTATCACTGACTGTCTTTTCCATCTCACTCTTCAGCAGAGGGGAGATTTCACTCCCACAATTCCATAAAGTGACCCTTTTATCCCTGAAGTACTGAAACATTCTAGGAATCAATAACAATAAATTTTTCCTGTCTCTGAGTTAATTTCAAAACAGGCATTTGGCAATTCCTATTTTAGACTAGACATGGAGATCAAGGAAAGTAAATCAGTTTTATACATGTTATAGAGGCATAATAAATTTGCAGAGCTATATCATACACGTGCCCAAAGGATTTCACTTGTCTAAGACTTGAGTTTGCAGCTCACTTTCTAACACATTTGAGCTGCTTCTGGTAAAGTCACAGAAATGAGCTGGAATGAGAGCACTTTAGGAACTCTCACATGTAAGCATAATACATATTCTATATTCTGGTGTATATATATATATATATATAATATACCTGAACCTCAGTAAAGAAGACTTTGATGCAAACTTCTTATTCAGAATACAGAGGAACCTTGCTTACCTCCTCTGCATGAATGCCACAAAGCTTGTTTCCTGACAAGAGCTTGTTTTTGAGGCTTTTGTTCTGAGGGGGACACAAGAAAAAACCGAAGTGTTTGTTAGTGAGGGTTACTGAAATATTAAGTATTTGACTATACTGGCTTTGTTTTCTACATGGATAATACCTTCAAGTCACCAACAAAAACACAGGTAAGACAAGAGAGATTCATCAAGGCACAATACCCTCTCACAGAATTCTAAAAGGCTATAAAATTTGCTTTAAGAGCAAGAAGACTGCTTACAGAAACCTTCCAAAACACTCTGGCAACTGAAAGCAATTTAGATTTAATATGCTGAGGTACTAAAGGGTAGAAAAAACCCCTTCCGATCCTTACCTGGTGTCAAGTGCATGGCTCAGTGTCATTTTCAGTAAATCATCATAAAAGCTGAGTAATAGGGCCAAGATCTCATCACTTGACATTGGTGATCCAATTCATGGGGTCTTTTTGCTAGATTTCATAATTTAAAACTGCAAGTAATCAAAATCTGTAGAAGGTTAGCTACCTGATAAAACCTTTTGCCAACTCAATGTGCTTTTTCATGTAGGAGTTGTAAATGTATTTCCTCTCATTTTCAAGGAAAATAATAAACCTTGATAAAATGCATTTTCAATAGTAATTCTTTTTGCACTCCTCACTCATATTACCCCATAATTGACAGTCGAGAGTGAAGATTTCTCAGGAACAAGCTGTCGTTAGAACCAAAACTGTAATTCCATCCAGTTCAAATTTAGGCTCACATCCCACTGAAACACTGGAAGCCTTCATTTCCAGAATTAGAAGCTTTGAGGTTTTCTCGAAAAAAACTTCCTTGTTGAAGCAAATGCAAAGAAACTAAAATTTCACGTGAAACCTCATTTGCCCAATTCCAAAAGGAGGAGGAGATGTGACATAATTTCAAGTTTCACTGTTCTACTACTGTAAACACTGCTGCAGAAACAACGAACCTTTCCCAGCTGTTTGAAATGTCATAGTTCTGTGATGCAACAGAAAGGAATTATTTTGCTTTGAATGAGATAGCCCAACAATCCTGTTTCTGCCTCGCAAAACATGATTTGCAAAGGACTGGGTGTTGCTCTGGTAAGTTCCTTTTTGTTTGAAAGTTAAGTTGTAGCTCATCAAAGCCTTAATGTACTAACCAGGGTAGCAATACAGAACAAGACAACTCGCTCTGCATAAAAGGAACTGGGTAGCAGATAAAAGATGAAGGGAGGTAAATGAAATAGCAATCAGAGACAAAGCATACCCAACTCATCTATTATTCACCACGAGTACATCTAAAGAGCTACACTGTACTGTGGGCACACAGTGGATGTGACTGGCTTCACACAACAATCAGCATCACCTTTTGGGGTGATGGCCAAACAGATGTGCCAAAGGCACTGCTTCGTTAGGGACTTGTACTTAATTAACCCAGGATGTCACGTCATCTCTTTGATTCGATTCACTCTTTATCCCCCAGTCCTCCCCACAGACTGGTTCAGGAACAGACTCTGTATTTCAGAACCAAAGTAAGAATGAGTTGTAGCCCTTATATTTTTACTGATTTATCTTCCTTTCAGCCAGTATATACATATATATATACACACATACATTTATACATGTATGTATATATTTATATATATGTATATATATATATACTATAAGAAATACTTTCTATTAATACATTGATATTTCATAAGTAACTTCTACAGTAACCCAGGATGTGTGTCAGCAGGACACACGATGTGTTCGATGGATGTCACAATTTCCACGTCGGGTCAAAAAGGCCTGGCAAAAGAACGTAGTTAAAAGAACTTGTCCCACGTCAAAACCTGGTGAAAATACTTAAAGTTAGGAGATGAGATCCATTTTGGAGGTTTAGCTAGGTTTAACATGATTTACCAATCCTGTCTCATTATCCAGTCTATCAGCAACAAACCCAGCAGGGTTATCAGAATGCAGGCAAAATAGTCGTGATTTAATCTGAACTTAATAACTCTTTTAGAAATGAGAGCAAGCATTGAAGGTTGCTATTATTGAGAGCATAATAAGTAGCACCTTGACAGAGATAGGTGACAACTTCCTGCACACAGTTTGAGTGATTTTATGTTACTTACAGTGACAAATCATGTCATTTTATGTTACGTACAGTGACAAATCATGTCACTGTCAAAAACAGCTTTCATCCTGATTAATAGTGTTAATTTTTATAGCAGAATGTGAAAAACATGTGAAGTATAACAGAGCCTGGTGTTGTTTGGTTTCTGAATTAAATGTAGCAAAATGAGAAGTCTGATTAGGTACATATCCTAGAAGAATATGCCCCTTTTGCTAGAAAGGGGCTATTCAGAATCAGATTAATTAATCAATGAAATTTTAAGTTTAAAAATGCCTATGGATTCAGCATAGAAGTTCTGACATCCAAGACTTACAAGGATTCAAGATTATGCATTTTTTCCTATTAAGCATCCTTCAAAGAGCAGCAACAAATAAGTTAAACAAGAATTTTAACCAGTTTTAATTTCCAGTATTACATTTGTTAGTAAGTACATAAATGGAGAAGGTCTTGAACATTTCAAGCTTAAAAATAAAAAAAATTAAGTATCTTAAATATCTTGTTAATGGGAATTTTAAAATTATATAGAGTAATGATTTTAGTTAGAAATGATCTTTTAGATGTAGAGAAAGGATACCATTATATTCAAATTAAATAGGTGTTTTAATGTAAATTAACATCTAAATAGACCTGTCAGTAGGTCCTTGGGCATTTTTTCCCTTTTGTCTTACCCCAACATAACAGGCTCATATTTTGTCTGGGTTCTGATATTATTTTCCATGAGTGAGACCAGGCTCAATGAAAGATTAATTCATTATATGAATGCTGACAACATTCAGGTTGCCTGAAGATCTACCTCCAGCATAAAAGCACATTTTTAAACGAGTGGCAGTTCCTACCACGCCAGACTGGTACTTGAGACTGAACTTGAGAGTTCAATAGAAGCACTTTCAGAGTTGCAGCTTTAGTTACTTGCTTTTCTGCAAATTCATTTTTGTAAACATCATTAATTATATAGCTGCACATTGCATTTTTTTTTCTTTTATAATTTCTCCATCTGATTGAGCATATACCGTAAATATCTCATAAAGCAAGAGTCACAGTTTACAGGCATTGTCAACTGTGACAAACTACTGGTGGACAAATTTAAAGGGGGTTTATTATCATCATAAATCTGAAGTTAGGGGGATTAACATTTGTCTGATGAATCATATATTCTACTAACGGAAGTCTAAACTCTCACCACCAATGTCAAAGCCACAAATTTTCAGATGTCATTTTTTTGGAAGTTATTTTATCTTGACCCCTGCTCACACCAGGAGTGCTTTAATACTCTTATGTTTATGTGTCATAACTTGAAACACCAGTATTATCTACTTGAATCAGCATCAGGATCTAAACCCAGAATGAACAAATACATAACCTAGACATCATCATCAGTACAAAGCAATTTAGTTTGTCTGCTGCCCTTTGAAAGCACAGGATACGAAGTACGTTCAGGGAAAGAAAATCACTTTCAGAAAATTGTATTCTCAGCAATCAACTGCAATTCAGACATTTTATCTCAGCTCTGACATGCTTTTTTTGGTTGTTGTATAGAAGACAAATCTGGCTCCGCTTCCCCTTGATGAATAGTGCAAATAAAACCGTGCTGAGCCCCTGCTCATCACTGGAACATTTCCCTCTAATGGGCATCGCATTCGGAAAAACAACCAAACCCAACAACAACAACAACAAAAAAAACCAGACTCTGCTCAGCCGGAGTGTCAGGGACAACTGCCATGATGAACTGTCTTCCACCTCCTGTGAAAGCAAAGTGCTTCACTGTGCCCTTAGGAGAGAAATCAGGAAGCAGCAACAGGCCAAAAATCAAACATCTGGATTAATCTGCTACCGCGATGCGTTGGTACCCAGTTTGCTTTGGATGTTAGCTTTGTGTTTCACGATGATGAAAAATGGTTTCTATCGCATGAAACGGGGTGAGTGCTTTAATCCCAGCAGGGTTGCCTCAGCCCTTCATCTTTCTGAGACAGATAAACTGAGCTTCCTACACTCTGTGTAGTTAAAATAATGAAGGTCTTTCAAATAAGACCTTAAGAACTGCATTCCTACCCGTCCTTAAGGCCGGTGAAGACACTGTGACTTTTTGGCCTTGGTATTCTTGAGGACGTTTGAGCCTCTTTTCCCTACAGTTTTTCAGAGCCCAAGAGTGCCAAACAGCTGAAGGACACTGCCCCTTCAATGTGATGATGCATATACAGGCTGCACACTTTTCGGACCTGTCTGGATCCAAACTGTCCCTGTAGCTCTGAATTCGTGGGAAAAGCCCATTTCCACTGTGGTCAGGCTTCAGCCTCTCAGTGCTCTGACACTTCTGCCTGTGCTGTTATTTAGGAGGCCCATGCAACATCTGAAGGCTGACAGCCAAGCTGGGTAACCCCTGCAAACATGGCACATTACCACTGTTCTAAGCTTAGGCACATTTGGACTATTTTGTTCCTTTTGAGCTCTTTTCTGTAACCTGTCCCCCTGCCTTACACTCATGTTACAGATAAAGGCACTTGAGGACAAGCTTTCCCGAACAAACAGTACACATTTCTTTCCTTCTGCCTATCAGTCCCTGCTAATACTTCTGTTATATTTCTCCCTGAATTTCATGTAGCCCAGCTGAGCTGAACAAGCTGATAAGCGACGTGCAAAAATCTTCCATTTGAGCTTTTAGCTGGAGCTCTGTGTTGATTGTGTTTGCCTTGGTGTTCCAGTCATTTCAGCAGGACTTTGCTCTGCAAAAGCAAATGCCATTTCTAATTCTTTCCGTGTCAGATGTTCTAATTAAAAGCAGCAGCACATTAAATGCAGAACCCCGTTGTACAGAATTTATATCTGAAATGAAGGGTAATTGCCTATGCCATGCAGGGTTATTTAGAGGGAAAAAAATGGCAATTCTTTGATCTTTCCCTTTGGTGGCGGTGGCTGAGTGCTCTGGGG